GCATTCCTTCACATGGGATGGTCTCTCAAAGTCCCCTTTTTCACCAGGGAAAAATACTAATCTACCACCAGGGGCCCCCTAGAGTGCAGAGGCCTCCTCATTGACATCATGTTCAGGGGTCTGGATCAGTCCCGTGCTGGCCTCCTAGACAGCAGTCTGGGGTCCATGTGCTCCCCCTTGTTCAGGCCAGCTGTTCCTGTGGGTTTCACCAGCCTGGTAATGACCCCTTTTATCTTCATTCCTCCCTCTCTGAAACTAAGTTTCAGAGTTCAGTTCAGTGTATATCTGTGGATGTCAGCCTCCTCTTCCATCAGCCACTGGATGAGGGCTCTGAGGCTCTGGCACCCGCCACAGGACCCATCCATCTGAATTTTAATGACTTAAAATCTAAATTAAAACAACCATGTCAGATTATAAAACTGTTTACAAACAGATAGGGTTTGGAGTGTTTTGCTTTGTTTTTTAAGCAAAATTATGATACCTATTTTCTTGTTGTTTGGGGGTTTTTTGTTTTGTTTTGTAGTGCTGAGAATAAACTGTGGGCTTTCCATATGCGAGGCAAATACCCCACCACTGTATTTCTGGCCACAGAATTTCTGCCAGGGTTTCATTGTAATTTTTGTTCTTACTGTTTGGTTTGACCAATGAGGAGCAGGAATGATTAAATAATAACCAGGCAAATAAACACTTGAATCTGTATATTTTCTGCTGAATTTTCTGGTTGACTAGGATTTATTCATTCCCTCATTCCACAACATTGTCCATCAGGAGATGCTTCTTTCGAGTGCTAAATGTTGTGAGTAAGTTGTCCTGGTGTCAGGGAGCTCTCAGTCTTACGGAAACTATCAGCACCATTAACATTTTCTTTCATGGGGAAAATACAATTTCATCAACTTAGATCCAGCTGCCTGCAGGAGAATGGACAGATAATTGTCATTTTAAATGTCCAAGGATGCTATTGAATAGTCAGAGGAAAATGGGGATCTGCTCTCCAAGATGCCTCTAATTACAAGCATTGTGTGTACCTCAGGGCTGGGATCCAGTTGGCTGATAAACAGAAACCTTCATTGTTTTACAGTACTGAAGAGAACTGGTATAATTATGCTCCACCATACTATGGGGTTCACAGTCGTTGTCTAAATGGCTTGCTAGACATAGGCCAGATACAAACCACCAACACAGGCCCTCTCCATCCTCTCTTGTTGCTTCTGGATCTCCTCTCTGGAACAGTAGGACTCCAGAAGTGGGAGTGTTTGCAGGACTCTGAGAGCCTGGGTTCTCAAGATCAGGTAACAGAGGCAGGCTTGAGTAAAACTCTTTTAGTCATTAGATAATAACACACCCGGACAGGTGTGTTCCTCATTTTTGAGCAAATTAAACTGTTCTGGGCATGGGACACTGTCCATGTAAGTTTCTCCCCCAATTCCACATCACCAGCCCAAGAAGTTCATTCTCCTGGGGCAAAGCTTTAGAAGCATTTAGATGATATCATATCCCAGCTACACAACACCGGGTTATTTAGTTTCTTTGGAGCTTTCAGGTTCAGAAAGGAAGAACATTGTTGTCACCCTTGTTCATCCCATGTTTGGGCAGCCGTGTTGATGAAACTGTAGCTTCTGCTTTTACTAGGAGATATGATTCCACAGCAAACTCCCTGATCTTCCAGCTCTTACAATCTTTCTACCCTCTTTTCCAAAATGTCCCCTGAGCTTTAGGTATGGGAGAGTTTTGTGGATGCATCCAATGGGACAGGGCTCCACAATTGTGCATTTTGACTGGTTGTGGTTTTCTGTAATGGTCTTTATCTGTTGTAAAGGGAAGTTTCTTTGACAAGGGATGAAGGCTACACTACACTTACTGTGTGCACAGGGATGAATGCTTATAGCTTATTGCTAGGGGTTATGCTGGTATAGTAAATTAGTGGTTGTAGATTTTCATCTAATAGCCATGATTTCACTATAATTGAGTAGTTAGCTCAATTCCAGTGCCAGGGACAATTTCCTTCTCATTGAGCAAGTTCTTAAGTCCCAAAGACATGCCAAAATGGACATGAGAAAACTAGTGGACACTTAAACTGCAGACTTATGGAGGCTTCTGGAGACTCTTCTGATCACCACAGACACCAGATCATACTAGCCTTCAGTAGAAAAGCCCTGCACACCATTCAGATCAGCAAGTGACACAGTAGTAACACAGGTTTGGAGACTGAGATGGAAAGGATCTGTGTGAACCAGCATGGCCCAAAGAAGCTTTGTGGAAAGACAGGATGCAAGCCAAGCCTTCACACTACCTCTGTCTTCTCCCTTCCTTGTAGCAACATAGTTATGGGGGAAAAACATGTAGCAAAGTGCTTCCCAATGTGTACTTTCTCCACCTACAACCTCTGATGACTTTAGATGCTAAGAAATTTGAGAAGTCATATGACATCTGGGCCTTCATACTGGATTCTGTTCCAAACACAGAAACATTATTTGTTCGATAAACAGGATCCCATGGATGTACAGTCCAACCCCCAAGGAGGGTGCCTGTGACTCTGGCGGACGGGCACAAGAAAGAAGCTTGAAGGGATATTGTACAGTAATGATTGTCAAAGAAAGCATGGAGTCCCTTTCTGGAACTTTAGAAAATGTAAATTGCCTGAGTGAATTCTGCCAGGTGACAGGGGCAAGCCAGCATAATGCCTGAATCCTTACAGAGGTGACCAGGGTTTCTGGAGGCTCTCAAGCAAAGTCTGAAATAATTTCACTTTCTTAAAGGGGAAAAAAAAGTGAGACTTGGGCCTCACTGAATTTCTGGGAGTGAACTTCTAGAACTATTACTGTAGTATGTGGGCTAATGTTTTTGGGAAATCACTTGGAGAAGTGTGTGTGTAAAAGCTGGGATTGGGGGCACTTGTCTATAGTCCTAGCACTGAAGGGCTGATTACAAGTTCAAGGTCAGCAAACCTTGTCTAAAGAAAAGGAGACAACAGAACTGTATATATGAATGTCCTTTGTGTAATTTTTTTCTGAGTATGTGAGAAAAGCAAGACAAAGAAAATTAAGTGATGTCCTTACCTGGAGCTCAAGAACAAGAATTAGAATTCAGGTAGTAGTTGCATAGGGATAATGGAAGGAAGTATTTGTTCATGTCTCATGTCTTCGTCTATATAGTATTGGATGATAGAAAAGACATTGTGTATCCATATCCCCTGCTCTATTGAGTGGTACTTGTGAAGCATGGAGATTAGCTGGCTAATTACCAGGCTCTCCAACAGGGTAATAATGAGTTCTAAAATCAACGCTGCCTACTACAGACCTGACACTTATCCAGTTAGATGATACTTTGCAAGTTCTTAGATGCTGTAAACTTTATTTTTCTCACTTGTGAAATGGGGAGAATGATTAATTGCTGCAGATGAAAAGAAGGAACGTGTGTAAAATGCTGTTTTCAACTGTTGCCCTGACAATGCTGCCTGGAAAAACACCTCCGTTCTCACAGTTTAAGACTATAGTCTTTTTCTCTCAATATAAAGAGGTCATTCAATGTCCTGTTGATTTGAACTGGCTTTGGTTACTCCTGGCTGCAAGTGTAGACTGTACATAGGCCTACTTCGGTGTTTCTCTTCCCTTTATCCAGTAGCTGTATGAACAAGATTCCTGTGCACATATTCCTGTACACCCAGTGGCTGTCTGGGTATCTTATTTACTAATATCTCTAAGCAAGTCTAGAGTTGACCCAAAAGCAAAGAGTGAATGTGTATCCTTTGCCTACCTGGTAGCCATGTCATGGAAATGCCTAGTATGACCACACAGGAATGATGTCAGTTTAACAGCAACAATGTCTGATACTTGATAGTTTGTTGAATATCTGCTCCTATGAATTGTAATGGTCCTTTCTTGGTAGATAAGAAAATATTACATTAATAGAAGTTGTGCTTTTTCAACAACAAAGGATAGCTAGCCTTTGGATGTTTTAGAACAACATTTTACTAATTGTTTGAGAATTTCATATAATGTATTTTGAACATTTTTACACTCTCTCCCCCAACTCCTCCCTAATCAGCTTCTCCTCGGTCTTGTCCCTTCCCACCCCAAATTTGAGTCTTCTTTGTTTTTCTTCACTGTTGAGTTCAATTTGTGTTGCCCAACTGTCACTGCCAGTGAAGCAAAAGCTGAAACTTGGAGTCCCTAGAAGAGAAGAGGAGGGGAAGAGAGGGGAGAGGAGGGGAGGGAAGGGAAGAGGAGGGGGGAGGGGATAAGGGAAGGAAAGAAGGAAAAGGAGAGGAGGGGAGGAGGAGGGGAGGAGAGGAGAGTAGGGGAGGGGAGTGGAGGGGAGGATAGGAGAGGAGAAGAGAGGATTCACAGACTCTGGGTTACTTTTATTGAGAAAAGAGACTAATTTTGCTTTCTGCTTTGGTGTAAAGGGTAGAGTAGGCCTTATCAAAACTTTAGTGGTCCTAAGGGCTCAGAGCTACTCTGAAAACATACTTCCCGAAAAAGCCGCACCTGCAGGCATTTTCCTTCTGGCTGTCAGATTGCCCACACATTGCCCTTGAATTGAACTTTGCCCTTGATGAAAGCTTCAGAGGCCAGCTGTTATCTAGCCTGGGTATGGGAACCTGCCCTATCATGTGGCCAAACCATCAGGGGGCACGATGGCTAATGAAAACTGACTCTTTCCTGGCAGCTACCAAGGTCAGTAGCTCCTCAGCTGGCAGTAGGATTTCCTGTCCATCTCCGGTCTCTAGTCTGGGTTGGTCTTTTTGTTTTTGTTTGTTTGTTTGTTTGTTTTTTCTGGCTTAAACTTGTACAGTTCTTGTACATGCTGTTGCAATGCTGTGAGTTCAAATGCTCAATTGCCCTCATGTGTCTAGAAAGGACTGTTTCCTTCATGTTTTCCACCACCTCTGGCTCCTACAATCTTTCTTCCCCCCCTCTTCCTCAAGTGTCCCTGAGCCTTGAGGAGAGATGTGTGAGATGTAGGACCTGTTGAAGGCTAAGTACTTCACAGCCTCTCATTCTCCATGCAATCTCTAGGGGAGGGTCTCTGTGTTAATTGCCACCATCAATTTATTTCTTATTGTTTTCTCTCATCCCACAGATTTAACATGCACGAAGGACAGGCTCTCAGCCAGCTTCTGCCAGACACTAAAATCCATGAAGAAATGCTCTGTGCCCTCGGTGAGAGCACAGTGCTGCCTCTCATGTCCGCAGACACAGAGCACCCACATCCAAAGGCAAAGAAAACAGCAGTTGCTCCAAAATCACAACACCCTCTAGGTTCAGGAAGGAGCCACCATCATTGACCTCCACAGCCTGCTGCCCAAGAACATGGTCCAGAAGGCCACTTCATTAATATTTCACTTTACACATTCTAGGTTCAACTGGGGATCATAACAAAACAAAATGCAATGTTTGTCTAGCCACAAAATGTTCGTCACAGAAAGCTTGGTGCTAGCAGCTCCCTGACAGGAAGACTTAAGTATTTGAGAGAATTCTGAAGCAGCTGAGATGAGTTCCTGGGGAAAGTTCCAGATGAGGCAAGTCTGTGAAAAAAGATGTCTTCTTTTCCCCTTTAAAGACAAATAATAGAGAACAGGATGTTTTTGTTTTTTTGTTTTTTGGTTTTGGTTTTGGTTTGTTTATTGTGGTTTTTTTTTTTTTTTTCTCCAAACTACCTCAAGATTATCAAGAAACAGCCATTCTTATCCAGGGAACAGATAATCTTTTTTAATTTGTCTTCATGAATCTATCCTCCTTGGCTGCCTTGGTTAGCTACTAGGGCAGTTCTGAGGAACATTTATTCAGTAGACAATAAGGACAGGAAGAGAATGCTAGATGGCCCTCAGTCTTCCTTCCATCCCTGCAGGACTTCACAACTGTTAGTCTCAAATCTTGGGACAGATCATGGAGATTAAGGACACACAGACATCAAGGGGATTAGATTAGTGATCCAGAATTCAGTTTCTATTAATAGTCCTAAAAATGCAAATGAACACAAATCAACTTCTTGTTAGCTTTTGTTCTTTGAATTTCCCTGGCTTTGTCAGTTCTTCCACAGAACAAATGACTGTCCCAGTCTGCCATTGTCTCTCCTGTCCTGCCTCTGTCTGGGTCATGACCACAGGTCCTACCATCATCCCAGTGCAGAAGGGTTATACACAAAAACTGCTGTGACTAGAATAACGGCTGCCAAGTCACCTTATCTCTCCTGAGAGAAAAAGTGACATTACAGGTTAAACCACTTCAAAGAATCAGGTAAATTGTACTAAGGCTAGGAATTTAGTAGAAATTTATAGTTTAGATAGAAGGAAAAGAATTCTAAAAAGTGGGAGAGATGATCTATTTAGTGTACCCATTAATGACTTTTAAAAGTCTTTTGCCCCTAAAGATGTAGAGGGTGGGTAGAATGCATATTTAGCACTGCAAGGCTTATAGGTTTGATCTCTAGCAACACATGTGCATGCGCATACACGTACACACAGAAGCAACAGCAAAAGCTAAGTTACCTTGTGGTGATCAGGAAATTCAAGAGGGTCCAGAACCCTAAAATAGAAAGCTTATTCCAGACATTGCCTCCTACTGAAGGCAGGGTAGGCTGTAATCACCAACTCAGAGTAAATTTCCAGGTGAGCCTATGGTCTGAAACTAGACAGAAAGGGTGGGTGTGTGGAGAGATATAAGCCCCAGAGAAAGATCTCAGAACCAGCTCTTGGCAGGAGGGGAGGCAATGCATGCCTTCATATGATGAATCACGTAGTTGTAGGCTTATGCACCAATATACATCTTCTTTCTGGAGTGCAGCATCCCACAACTTCCTGTAGTTACCTATCCATTCAGCAGAATGGTGCTATTGAACCTGGTGCTAATACCTAGATGGTGGCAGAGCTAACAGAAACGTTAGCTAGTAGTTATATGAATGGCTAAGTAGATGTGGACTTCCAGATAGACATCTGCTTTGTGTGAGATGGTGTTGCTGGCCAATGCCAGTTTTATTTTCTCTGAGACCATGAACAGAACATTATATATTATGTGCATTATCTGCTTTTAAACCCTGTTTTTTTGTTTTTGTTTTTTTTTTTTTTTTTGGCTTTTTGAGATAGGGTTTCTCTGAGTAGCCATGACTATCCTGGAACTCACTCTGTACACAGGCTGGCCTCCAACTCACAGATGTCTGCCTATCTCTGCCTCCCAAATGCTGAGATTAAAGGCATGCACCACCACTGACCAGCACTTTTAAACTCTTATTCAAGGCACTAGTGTACATTATTCTGATCAATTCCTGTGGAAAATAAAACACTGGGCTTTGGTTAAGATTCAAGGTATACCAGAAATAGGAGAAAGTACCAATTGCTGAAGCCAGGGAATTTATGTGTAGTTAAGCATACTTTCTTGAATTCTTTCTTAAAATATAAACATTGCAGGTCAATGACAAACTCTGGTGAAATAACAATTTCAGAGAAATACTGACATTATTCTGTGAGTGGCACAAATGGAGACATGGAGGAGAACCTGACTTTTTCTAAGGAGAAAGACTAGTAGTCTAGTCTTTCAGAGGAATTAATTTAGTAAACCATGTGAATTTAACTTAACCTGGCACTGTTCTAGCACAGGGTAAAGTACATTACATCAGAGTCCTGGGTGTGACCAGGCTTAGAGTACTCGGGAACAAACCTGGATTCCTTCTAACCTCAACAAACTAAACTAGGACAGATTTCCCAATGCAAAAAATAAACCTTGTCATTTGTCGCCCATGGGGTGGAGAACATCAAAAGCCCATGGAGAGGGTCTGACCAGGTACTTCTGCATATACAGGAAATAAGCTTCTGATCATGCATCATGGCCGTCACTTTCTTCTACCATAGTAAGACTGTCCTATGGCATGTGTCATTCGTGCTTGTTGTAGGAGTCACCAGTCATCTGCTCGGCTATGTGTTATTAGAACACCATAGATCCTTGGTGCTTGAGATGCTATAAGAACCTCGAATGTGAGGATGACTCTGGCAGCAAGAACTGGGTAGTATCTTTACAGGGTCAAATATGAAGCCTTGGTTTATTTCATCCATGTCCTCCTTCAGGAACACCTTGAAGGTGTGAGTAAGAAGTTCAACAAGAGACACTGGATATACACTTACCAAGAACCAGTGAGGTCCATAGCAGGACCTTGTGCTCAAATACATCATGTTGGGTTTACGTTGCTTTTCTGAGTGGTAGACTTAGCTCTTCTCCAAAAAGTTACAGTCTATTTAATTCTTGAACATCAAAACAGTATTATGCCATAAGAGAACAACTTTCCTGGAAACTTCATAGTGAATACTTTGTTGAAGTTATGAATCATATCCTGTAATAAAGGATTGCTTTCTTGTGTAGGATTAACCATTCAGTCATAGGTTTTCTTAAACAAGAGCACACACACACCTCCTCCTGTCCTACTGAGACAGCTGTGCCTCCACTGGCATTCCAATGCATTGTTTTCAGAGAGTCTGTTTTTAACCAGCTCCATCAATAATCTGAAATGCAATTTGAATATTTCAGATCCTAACTTCCCATCTAGCTAGCCGAAGTTCTCTGAAAGCTTCATATTGTGAACCAAGAGAGTACAAGTCTTCGATTTCTTCTTTTTCACTTCAAGATAAAGCTCTGGGACTGCCTATCTGGTGCTCAATCCACAGTGATCTGCTTTTCCAGGGAAATGCCATGTGTCCTGAGCTTCCTGGTGCTATAAACTAGCCAATATATTTGATATACTCTTGTTCCTAATTCAAATATCTTTTTTTAATTCATGTATTTTTATTTTAAGTTGTGTCACTAAAAATAATGTGGTGAGGGAAATGTCTTTCTACCGGTCATTGCCCTCTCAAATGGTGGTGTGACATACATGGCTAACTCATTGTCTCCTCTGTGTTCCTATGTTCCCTCACCAGCTGATCCCCCCACTCCTTATGTACCCGATGAGTACCTCGGTATTAAAATCAGTTTGTAATCATAGCTTGTCTTTGTGTGGCATCAATAATTAGCCAAACTCATTGATGTTTCCTTGCGATTCATTCACTCCTACTGTGAAGCTTTCACCACCCACCGAAGTGTTACCATGGAGTTTAGCAATGGAAGAAGTTGTTATCAATTTCCCCCTCCTACACTCCCACATTCCCTCCTCCCCTACCCCTAGACAAGTACATTACCCAATGAATCATACCCCAGGTGAGTAGATCTTAAGTGAGTAGAACTTAACTCATGAATATGCAATGCTTTAGTTAGGGTTTTTATTGCTGTAAAGAGACCTGGCAACTCATACAAAGGAAAGCGTTTAATTGGGGGGCTGGCTTAGAGTTCAGAGGTTTAGTCCATTATCATCATGGTGGAAAGCATGGGAGCATGCAGACAGAAATGATGCTGGAGAGGTAGCTAAGAGTTCTACTTCTGGATCAGCAGGCAGGAGAGAGAGGGGGGAAGGAGGGAGAGAGAGAGAAGGAGAGAGAGAGAGAGAGAGAGAGAGAGAGAGGGCCCAGCATGAACATCTGGAACCTCAAAGCCTGTCCCCAGTGGCACACTTTCTTCAACAAAGCCACACTTACTCCAAGAATGTCACACCTCCTAAGAGTGCCATTCTCTACAGGACTAAGGGGGCCATTTTCATTCAGACCACCACATATAACAACTGAAAAAAACATATGAACATCTGAAGTGATGCCTAAATACCTCACAACACTGAATCTGGTGTAGTCAGACCATTAGCTTATAGCATGACTTCCTCTCTTAATACCCTAAGTGTAGACATGATGCTTACAAGAAAGTAAGTCCCCTCTAGATGAGTTTGCATGAGGAAGCCTATCTTTTCTCAAAGACAGTGCAGAGCTAAGTAAACAGCAAGGGGGAAATCTGTTGATATGAAGAAGGAAAACACTAATCATATAAGCAAAAGCATTACAAAGGAGCCTGCTAGACTGGGTAGATGACTTCTAGAATTTTGGGGGATGTACTTAGGGTGGTAGGAAATACAAGTTTGGTCAATGCTGCATCACAGAGGGCTTGGGACACCTCCCTGTTTGTACTTTAAACCTATTCTATGACCACTAGGGAACTCTTTCTTACCTTTCATAATTCAGGTCAAATGTCTCTGACCTGGGAAGCCCACCCTGGTCCTGTTAGGAAGAGTAAGGTATGTTTCTGCTTCGGCTGTGTCCTGCACATTTTGCACGTTTTACAGTCTCAATCAGGAGAGATTTTGTTCCCCAGGAGACACATGGCAATGTCTGGTATGCCTTGGGTCTTAACAAGTG